TCAATGGATGGATCTATCTGATAGGATACACGATTTATTCGATTGGCTTTACTTTCGGCTCATCTCTAATGCATCAGGAAGGACCTGGCAAACTCAGTTTCAGTGATCTGCTCGTGGTAAGTTATTCAGTTCACAAACAAAATTTCGAAAACCGATGGATTCTCGACGTTTGAATAGATAGTGGTTACTTTGGTACGACCTATCACCAATATTGCATTTGTTGGTCCTTTCTTTCAATTGTTGGAAGAGGCTCGAGGTGCTTTGACGCCCGTTTTTCGATTGATCGATGAGGTACAGTTATACGTAATGTACGATCTTGTCTCTCCACTATTGTATCATACAGGAAAAGAATACAAATATGAACGAAACACAAATATCTCAAGATTCGGGTTCTTCTGAAGAAACTATTAGCATAAATGGTGACATTCAATTCGACAATGTCAATTTTGCCTATCCAGCTCGATCGGATGTCTTAGTCCTACGAAATCTCACATTGACGACTCGTGCTGGTGAGACAACAGCTTTAGTCGGTTCAAGTGGTTCTGGTAGATATTTCGCAAAAAACGCATATCGGAGTTTGATAGTCTATAGTTTGTTCACCGAATAGGGAAGAGCACATGTGTTTCACTTCTACTTCGTTTCTATGAACCTTTATCGGGCTGCATTACAATTAATGATCGATCGATCACCGATTACGATTTCAAATCACTCCGACAAAAGATTGGTGTTGTCAGTCAAGAACCTGTACGTCTGTCTCTTTGCTTTCGTATTTTTGCGCTTTCTATTGTTTAGTGTAGGTTCTCTTTGATACAAGCATCTATGAAAATATTCGCTTTGGTCAAGAAAATGCAACAGGAGTCGAAATTGAAGAAGCAGCACGTCAAGCCAGTGCACACAATTTCATTATGCAATTACCGAATGTTTGCATAAAATGATCTTCTCTAATGCCATGCATGATGTTTTCTGTTTTCTTAGAAGTATGACACAGTTGTCGGTGAACGCGGTGTTCAGTTGAGTGGTGGTGAAAAGCAACGTGTGGCTTTAGCTCGTGCTCTTGTCAAACAGCCTACCTTGCTTTTGTTGGACGAAGCAACAAGTGCTCTTGATAATACCAATGAAAAGATTGTTCAAGAAGCACTCGATCAAGCATGCAAAGGTTTGCACGTATCTTTCTGTTTCAATCATATCATGCAAAGTTACTCATAGGTCGGACAACTATTGTGATCGCTCATCGTTTGTCAGCAGTTCGAAATGCACATCAAATTTATGTTTTGGATAATGGATGTGTCATCGAGCAAGGTACACACGCTACACTGATATCACAGGAAGGAAGTCAATATTGCAAGATGATGAATGCTCAAGAGATAAAAAAAAGAGAAGATGACATCGATGAAAGAACGAGCACCGCACCAATCGAAGATGACGATCAAAAGCAAATATGTACGCACAGACTTTCAAAAAAAACGAATACTTTGAAAAAGATAATTTGTTTAAATTAGCTGAACGTTCTCGACATCGAAGCCATAGTGAACTTGACGACAAGAATAAAGTAAAGAACATGAATTTATTTGTGTCCAGATTGATTTTGCATGTGCAACTTTTTTTGAACAGGCATCATCAGATACAAATCGCCGACCTGTTTTCTTGCGACTTTTGCTGATGAATAGTCCTGAATGGATCATTATTTTGATCGGCTGCGTGGCCTGCCTCATAGTTGGGGCAAGTCAATCCATCCATGGTGTTCTACTCTCCCTTACAGTATCTGTAAGTGATTTTCATACATAGAAAAAACAGAATTGTCGTTATCGATTGTTCACAGACATTTGGAGCGTGTACCTATGAAGAACGAAAACATCAAATTTTGAAAATTTCCCTTCTCTTCTTGCTGATGGGTACTGTCCTTTTGGCTATACGTTTTATTCAAGTAGGAATATATTGCATAAAATGTTTTATGTTTTCTGCATTAATAGTACGCTGCATTTGCTTTATCTGGCTCAAAATTGACCCAGCGTATCCGTATTAAAGCTTTTGCGCACTATCTGCGTCAAGAATTAGCTTTCTTTGATTGTCTTGAAAATAGTTCTGGAGCTATTTGCAATCGTCTCTCATCCGATGCGTTGGCTGTTCAGCAGATGGTTGGCAGTTATCTAGGCATTGTTTGTGAATCAGTCGCGGCATTTGGGGTTGGTCTTGTTATCGGGTTTTTTTTCAGTTGGAAGTTGGCGTTAATCGTACTCTTTTATATTGTCGTTTTGTTTGTTGTTGCTTTCATGCAAATACGTTGGCAAGCACGGTTGAATAAACGTTGTGATTGTGTTCTTGGATTAGCAAGTTCGGTAAGAGGAGCATGTCGATTAACATATCATGTATACTGAAATAATGATATTGAATCTTCTTTTCTTAATAGTTCGCTGTCGAAATCATTCACAATATGCGTACGGTGAAACAATTGGCAAGTGAGGCAAAATGTCTACGTCAGTTCTCTGATTCACTTCTTGAGGAGTTCAAGTCAGTCTTTCAATAACTTTTTTTCTTAATCTTTATGCAATATTTTTCCATAGAATTCGTCAAAATGATACAATAATATCCCTCCCACTACAAAGTCTCTATTGGGGAACAAGAACATTCATTGCGTTTGTTCTCTTTTGGCAGGCTCTCATCCTTGTTGAACACAAAGAACTGAACATGAACAACCTCAATATGTATAATAAAAAGCTTTAAGGTCTATTTTATCTACATATTCTTCTAGAGTGTTTGTCTATTACTTTTTCACCTTGGACTCCTTAAGATGCATCGCGACGTTGTAAGTAATTTCGTCGGTCTACTCTGTTTCTTCAAGTATCTTATTTAGGACGCGACAGATGAGTGACTCGTTGTCAGCAGCTCAAAGTTTCTTCAATTTGTTCGATCGAACATCAGCTATCGACAATAGCTCCATCAGTGGTCAACACTTGGTAAGTGATTCATTTCGTAAAAGTCTCAGCGTTGAACAAATCTCTCTTATCTTCTTGTTAAAATATGTGGATGACAGAGTGATTTCCAAGGCGCAATCGAATTTGATGAAGTCACATTTGCATATCCATCTCGACCGATATCCCGCATTTTAAATAAATTTCAATTGATCATCAAGCCTGGTGAGTTTATTCCGTATATTTTAATTTTAATTTGTGATTAAATTTCTGTATTTGTCAATTAGGCCAGCGTGTGGCTCTTGTAGGTATGTTGAAGTCAGTTGTTTCCCATTCAAAACGATCATATAATCTATATATAAAGGTACATCTGGTTGTGGCAAATCGACAGTCATTCAGCTACTGGAACGATTCTACGATCCCATGCAAGGTCGAATCGTAAGTATCTTTCTTCTATGCTGTGAAAATATTTGTACAAACACTCGACTAGTGAAATCTAGTGTCTCGATGGTGTTAACATTCGACAGCTGAATATCCAATGGCTTCGCTCGTCTCTTGGTCTCGTTAGTCAAGAGCCTATCTTGTTCAATTTGACTATTGCTCAAAACATAGCCTATGGTAAAGAGAACACTTCGATTGAAGATATCATTGACGCAGCCAGCAAAGCCAATATTCATCATTTCATTCAGCAGTTACCTCAAGTGAGTGAAGAATAACACATAATATTTCATTATGTCTTTGCACTGTGACAACAGGGCTATGAGACTAAGGTGGGTATGAAAGGTGGTCATTTGTCAGGTGGTGAAAAACAACGTATTGCCATCGCTCGAATTCTTCTTCGTCGACCAAAAATATTGCTGTTAGATGAAGCAACAAGTGCCATGGACTCTTACAATGAACAAGTTTGTTTTCTTACAATTTTTGTTAATTAAATAGTCACTTTTATTATGCTTAGATCGTGCAAGAAGCTCTTGAAAAAGCTGTAACAGAAAATTCAAATTGCACTTCACTGACCATTGCTCATCGTCTGTCAACCATTCGATCGTGTGATTTGATCTACGTTCTTAAGAAAGGATACTTGGTAGAGAGTGGTACTCATACAGAGTTAATGGAGCGATGTGGAGTCTACTATCATATGACCGTTCGCAGTTCTATTTTATAAATTGACCTCGTTATTACTTTAACGAAATTAACTAACAATTGAAATAAATTATTTTCATTGATTAGAAGGCTGCATCAAGCAGTGTCATAGTTACAAAATTCAATATTCGAAAAGTGAAAATGTTCAGGTTCCAAAATAGAATAAAGGTTCTCGTTATATTTGTTTCTATCATATTTCAGCAATAAGACATTGTAGAGTGCTCTTTTTTGATCAAATCATAACCAGAAATATTATGCTATATCTCAAGAACACTGAAAGTTAACTATTTCCTTGTGCAAATGTGGCGTATGAATATTGTAAGTAGCAGGGTGTGGATGTGAATGTGAGTGTGAATAAAGAGAAAAACCACACCTGCACCCCCACCCCCACCATCCACACCCACACCCACACCCACACTCCCACACCCAAACCCACACCCACCATCCACACCCACACTCCCACACCCACAACTACACTCCCACACCCACGCTACCATAACCACACTCCCACACCCACACCCACACGCAAAATGTGGGTATCAGTTTTAATTCTTTCTCTTCTTTTTTTTTCTTTTTATTTTAAGACGTCACCATTCAACATCATTGGATGAGTTTTTTTTTCTTTCTCTTTTTTTTGAGCTGAGATTAGTTCGGTTTTACGTTACAAGAAGGACTTCTGGATAGTCCCTAAAAGTCCAGCCAGGAATGGCTCTGATGTCTGTGGGAACACGATCGGGCCCCCAGGCTACCGGACGCATGTCATCGAATGGGTGTGAGTGAATGATGTGAATCTTCTCACGCGTGCATGAGCATTACGCTCGCCATGGCTCCACCAGGGTCGTTCCTGGTCTTGCGCGCGAGAGAGAAGAGAAAAGAAATTTCAATGCATTTTTCAATTCAATTACGTTTTATTTGAAAGAGAACGAAAGAGAAAAATTATACGAATTGAGTTTATACGATAATAAATTTTTGTACTCGATGATTTCCGTGTTCGACGACATAGAGATTACCATGCCGATCGAAGGATAAACCTACGGGATCACTGAGTTGATTCGACTGTGCCCCAGAACTGTTTCCACCAATAATGACAGTTCCTTGTGTGACACCCTTTGGCCAACGCATGATTCGATGATTCCATGAATCAGCCACATAGACAGTACCCAGTTGATCGACAACGACTCCACGAGGACCATTCAATTGTATAAGACTATTTCCTGCTCCTTGACCACCCGCTACAATAGTACCTTGTTTGCCACCTTCTTCCCATTTCATGACACGATGATTATTCCATTCAGACACATATACTGAATGTTCTTGATCCACAAAGATGTAGGAAGAATTCGAGAGTTGATTGAGACGATTTCCTTGTCCATTACCACCTGCAACCAGTGTTTCTTGAACATCACCAACTTTATATCGTCTGACTTCATGTTTTCCATTGTCAACGACATAGAGAAAGCGATTGTCGTCCATTGTTAAACCGAAGCAATTGATATTTGAAATAATAGTTTCTCCACGAGTACGATTTCGACGAGGCCAACGAACTACTCTGTTATTAATGGTATCCGAGATTATGAGACTATCGGTCTCTTTGTCGATAATTACATCTCGTGGTTCATATAATTGATTAGTTGCATTACCTGGCCCATTTACACCAGCAACTACAGTGCCATTCGTTGCACCAGATTTCCATTCCATAATACGGTGATTATTGTGATCAGCGACGTAAACCGTTAGATGGTCGTCGACGTATAAACTATATGGGTTATGAAGTTGATTGGTTCCCGTACCTTGTCCATTTCCTCCAGCAACAGTGATACCATTCGTTGACCATGTTGCATTTGGTTGAATAGCAGTAGAACTGGCACGCATTGGTCCTAAAATGAAAGAAATGAATTTCATGTTGGTAAGAAATTCCTGATCAGAAGAGATATATAATTTTTTGTAAACATTGTTCTATTGTTACAATAATTAAAATTTTTGTATTGTTCTTTTTTGTTCAAAAGCAAAATTTTCAAAGAAAAAATATCTACTGGATCATTTTATAGTTTTAATTTTTTTATCTATATTAGAACATTTCATTATCAATCAATATGAAAAAATAATTTCAGAAGAATTAAAATACGATTTATTAATATTAATAAAAATGAAAACAATATATGTAGATAATTTTATTTTCTACTCATAGATGAAAATAAACAGTACAGCTGAATTTACTGTTTTAGCTAGTAGGGTATTACTTCGATAGACAAACTACTAAAACATGGTTCAAAACATAGATCTCGAACCAAAAGACAAAATTTTAGTCTGTTGTCTTTTCTCTAAAAAAAAACTCTTAAATGATAAATAATTTAGAACTATTGATTTGCAAGTAATGGGTAATTTAAGAATTCGAATTAATAAAAGAATAAATGCTATATGTTGGCTTTTCTAGAAAGAGAAAAATTAGTGTATTTTCTTAGTATGCAAACATTTCTAATAATATTGTATTTCATTTTTATTCGTTAATCCGTCTGGCACTATTCTTTGATGACATATGAAAAATGAAAGAGATTCTAAATCACATATTATAGAAGCTTTAATGTAGATGAGTAAAGAAATGAAGTTTTCATCTCATTGAGATAAACTTAGAAATTATTGTATTTTATTAAAATTCTTTTTTTCTTAATGATATATGCTAAATGAAATATTCTTAATTCTTTTACATGCATACTGTGTAATACAGACAAACATAGATCCTTAAAAGAACAGCAATATGTAAGAATGAACGAATGACCTAAATTTTTAGTCTTTTAAATTTTTTTCTATGAATGAATACCGATGAGATCAGCAGAATATTTTTCGTGTCTGTCTCTTCTCTCATATGAATCTATTAGTATTTCTTAAAAAATTTTTCATCATGTCTATGTAAGATGATCGCTTAACTTTTTTGACCATTTAATTTCATTTAATGATTGATCAATTCCAAGTGAAATCTAATTGGTATAGCGGCAAATGACAAAGTTGATACATGAAGAAACATAACGGATGGCGTACAAAATACTTCTGTCTATATTTTAAACATTTCTATCTCTTAATAGACCAGATGACAATGTTCTTATTTTCTTTGAAGAAGTCGGCCTACACTATACAGTATTTCGGAAAAAAAAGTCAAATAATCTTCTTCATGATATATAAGAAATTCTAACGAAGGGTTTTCGAAATACGTAGTCATAATGAGCATTATCAGAAACATTCGTAAAAGGATGTGAGTATTTTTTCTCACAAAGTTCTCTTCATTTATGATAAAGACAGAATGTGATAGCAATGAAGAATAATATAAAGATTTTATCTATGGTAAGAATTAGAAAAATTGTGAGTAAAACAAAAAACTTATTCTCGCAAATAAACATATATCAATCCTATGAAAAATTAGAATTTTATCATACGTATTTAAATTCTTCAATATAGCAGAATGTACAAAAATGATTATTATGTCAAGTTTTTTACTACTATTATTTTAGCATTACAAAAATAACTAAAAATTTGCTACGGTCTCGATGAAGTTTCATTTGTTTCTGTAGTAAATGAAACGAATATTGCTACTCCTTTTTTTTTTATTTTGCTTCAATTTCTGTTCTTTTTTCTTTTGTGAACCTATTCATATGGTTGATACAAATGGAGGGCTGGACGACATCCCCAAAAATCGAGATATTGTTCTATTTCCAGCAGAAAGACTTTAACCCCCATAAAGTCAAGCAGAAATGCTTCTTCAGCAACCACAATCCATTATGCAAATCATTCACTACGGAGACAATACCGCACGCGACAGGAAGAAATCATTCATCGATATCTCNAATCAAGAACAAAGTTAATATATGGGTTACAGACCTCAACTCATGAGAAGTTGAAATAGTATTTATGATGGATTCAATTCCTCCAGACGTTACAAAATGGTTCAGAGTAAAATAGGCATAAAAAAGCATACATTCTTTGATGGTAATTTTTATCGGTTCACTCGTTGCGTTTTTCCTATCACTTCAACAGTACGAGATGGATGCTGCTTCTGTCCAGCCAATAATGTGGTCAAAGAAAAAAAATTAACTCTTATGATGCCGTTCAATTCTCATTTTCCACCACATGATTTTTATATCAATCAAATCGCCCTACTCCAGGAACAGGACATTCGGTGGATTAGGCCGCACCATTGGCTTATTCAATAGGCTAATACTCTATTTATAAAGTTATTTTATCAGTGGCTCTTCTGGAAGCGCTATGCGGGGTTAAGGGTTAATAAGAGAACATTTCTTAGGCAATCTTGACAGTAATCTTATAATAATCAAGTTATAATTGCTTCATACTATTAGAATAGAGTTCGTCCGTTAGTTTCGAAAGACTCTAGTCGATGATCAAACTCAGTGTTTATCCTCTACATTTGTCACTACCTTCAGCAGTTTGATCTAATCGAAATGATCTAATTAATAAATTCTTTCAAATTATGAAATCTAATGTGAAATAGAATAACTTAACTTGTCCCAAAAATTAGAATCAGATGATTCACATATCTTTTCTTTTTTTAGCTGTTCAAATGTCTCAATCAGGTCAATTAACACTTGAATTGCCTTATGTAATTATTGGTCTTGGTGCAACACCAAATTTCGTCGAAAAACTTACCGTTGCAATCCCACCAAATAGTCAATCGGTTTGTATCATGCATATATTTCAATAAAATTTATGTATTTTCTTTATAGAATCAATTAATTCGGACATATACTCAAATGATTCCGAATTCACAAATTGTTGTTGTGCCATCACCATTAATGAATCCAGAAAAGTTAGTTCAAAGAAAACGATTAAACAATAAAAGAAAAACAAAATTTTCTTTTTTTTTTTTTTTAATTATTTAGATGGCATAGTAAACTTTTTCTAACACCTAGTCGAATGATTCTACATACGGGTATTGCATTAGGTGCAACACTTATTGTATTAGCAGGTGTATTGGCTATATTACAATATCGAGAAAAAGTTTGTTTTTCTGTTTTAAGCTAATAATTATTTGAAAATTTCTATTTATCTAAGATTGAAGATGATCGCGAACGAAAAGTACAATCACAACGATTTCATTATGATGCTCTATGATTTCTTTGTTTTTTAAATGATTTTTAATGATGCTTTGTCAAATAGATACTTTGTATTTTCTATATTATATATATATTTGAGACTTCTATGTTTTGTTTTAATTTTTTAATAGACGACACAATAATAGATGATTGTTTTTTTTTTTTAATTTGTTTATTGAAGATGTAATGATTTTTATTGAATAGATATAAGTAACTCAACAACGTCAATCATTTTTATTATGGCTAGTAACTTCACATACAATTATAATCGTAAGTAAATAGATTATTTGTAGATATTTGAAAGTTTTTTTTTTTGCTAACGAGATATCAATCAAATTTTTGTCTAGTTCAATAGATTTTTTTTAATTATACATAATAGATTTTATGTAAAATCGAATATTATCTGATATACTGTCAGGAAACGAAAAAAAAAACGAACCTATTCTTCATTGATATTTACCGTTATTTTCAAACAACCAAAAGGATTTTGATGGCTTTCAAGGGCATAAATCTCCAATTTTGTGAGCAATTAATTGATGAAGGAAATTCTTCTATTTTGGGACGTGGTTTATATCTATTTTGAATATAAGATATTATGATGTGTGTTCAATTAGGATGATAGTACATCTAACTAGTAAATAGAAGGGATCCTTAATTTCGAATATTTCCTCTTTTGAAATTACTTCCAATAAAAATCGGTCCCATGAGAAATATAAGAAAGTGATTTCTAACGAGGAAACATTTTCAACTGATAAATCGCTTTTGAGTTCGGATTCTGTGCATAAGATAGATCACAGTGAGACATGAAAAATGTTAGTAGAATATCTTAACAATTTCAGCTCATAAGAATTTCTCCTTTCCGAGATATTAAAGTTCTAAAAAAACAGAAAATTCTAGCATCTTTTATGAGATATGAGTGATTTTTCGAACTTTAATATCTCAGGAAGAAAATATTCTTTTGAGCTGAGATTTTCAGGGCATTCTACTCACAAATAGACCTGTCCGTGGGCAAAATTCCAGATCAAAATACCATCATTTGATTTATTGGTATCTATCAAATCACACGCTAAAATTCCAGTAAAATGCCTATAACTCTGGACAGAAAGCCTAATGGCACTTATTCTTTTGGCATTCTTTATACCTCACTTGGATCTATCTAATGCATGGAGTTCGAACTCAAAATCGATTTATCAGTTGAAAATGTTCCCTCGTAAGTAATTACAGGTTAAAAAATTAATTCTACCATTCTTTATTTGGTCAATATAAATCACCAATTTTTTTTTTAGTGAGCACTTTTCATTATCTCTTCTTGAGGACTTTTACACGATCCACATTCAGCAATTTATTTTCAGAAATCAAAACAATTAGTGAACGGAATGCGTGTATCTGTAGAAAAAAGTACATGTTGATTGAAATATATTGTTTGCATTGTTTCTTATCTAGGCCAATAATATCCTTAACTAATTGACTTAATTGATAGTAGGAAACACTACTAAGTGAGGGTGAGGGTATCGTCAGCCTGGAGCAGCACGTACATTTTATTGAGAAGTCATACTGTGAATTGAATGTCGGAAAAAGTGGATAATCAAAAATACTCTAAGCCATTCTTTTATAAATTTCTATGGAAGAATTTATTGATTTTTTTTGTATTAGAGAAAGTTGTTTTTTTTCTCATTTGATAGTTATGATTGTAGAGACATATTTCCGACGTATTAAACTAGTATTTATTTTATAGCTTTAATATTCAATTAACAATGAACTCTTTCCTATATTTTGTGACACTATTTTTCTGCTCATTTCCTCTCCAAAAATAGTTTAAAATTGTACTTTTTTTGCAACGATGAATCACGTAGTTTTTTTTTTTCAACTCATTGATTATTTCTTTCTTTCTTCGCTATAGAAATATTGACATGATATTTCAGGGCAAGCGTCATTTCTTATTTTGTTTTATATTTATCATGAGTCGAAGGCGAAAAAATAATAATTTATAGTGAATGAGAAAAAATATCAGCGGTGATTTCTTTGATGAGAAAAAGACACAGAATACTCGACAAATGTTAAAAACTAAGTTATTTTAGACATAAATATGAATAATATTTGTTTTTTTTTATAACAAAATATATCTTATTTAAAGGTTATAATTCGACATTCCAAAGTAACGATTGTCAATTATCATCAATAAATTCATCGAATTCTGATGCAATGCAAAATAGTCATATGATTAGTCAACGTCAATCATCGGATCCTCGTACATTGACTAAATGTTTTATTCTTTTTGAAAATGCAGCATCTAGAAGTTTGAATGAAATTTATTTTCTTGAATATCTTGGTACACGTGCTCGTTATCATCATTCACATAAATTATATTTACCACAAGTTTTTAATAATCATCGAACATCATTAAATGAAACATATGAAGAATTTTCAAATTATATAAAACAAGTTTTAGAATCAATACCATATAATGAATTATCATCTTATGTTGTTAGTGTTCGAACGGGTGTTTCATATTTTTTTTCTAAACGTTTTCGCTTTAATAATAAATATTCAATTGAAGATATTCGTAATCTTATTCGAAAGAAAATTCCAACGACTGATATTCGATATTATTGTTCACGAACAAATAATTCTAATCAATCGGATGAAAGTTTACGTTCGTCATTTAGTAATGTTAAACCAATAAGTCAACCAAGAGAATTTGTTGAAAAACTTGAAGAATATGAATTTTATGTTCAACAACAAAAACATGTTTTTCGAATTTATTTACAATCAGATGATAAACAAACTCATGTTTGTACAGTAGATCCAGCATTAAATTATTCAATTGTTGAATTTTCAAAAGATTTTCAAAGAACATCAAATATAGGTAAATTAATATATGAAAAAAAAAATACATACATAAAGATATTTAGGATTAGCTATTTCTAATCAAGTCTAAATAGTATCTAATTAATTTAGAATTTATACGATAGGCTTAACTCATCACAGTTGCATATTTAATGATAAGAAAATTTATTATTTTAGGGTTATAAAATGTTATCAGATTTGGAATTAAAATTAGACCAAGTTCCACTTTGTTGTGAAACTCATATTATGCTTTTTGAAGAAAAAAAATCTAGTTGAATATGTGTTAAGTTGTGGTTTTTCAAGTTTCCCCTTCGTAGAAACCAAAACCAACGCTCGTTGACTGCGGTTTCATAACAACTGTAGACAAGCTGTACCAGACTCCTTTTCTAGACCTCCTTAGCAAAGGAAAAAGTCGCTGAACGGTATTAACAACATAGCGCAGTTTTTTATTTTTGTGCATGTAAAAATTTGATATCCAAGATGTCCAGGATGATGGGTAGTCATGCATTGATTTGCCACACTTGTCATATGATCAAGATAACACATGTGAACTAATCAAGTGACAACTTTTAGAAGTAATTAATATCAGTGTTTGTGAGCTTATTAAAATATAAAGTAGTGCGTTGTGATCTGCTGTAAATGTAATGGATATGAGCGACATGCTTGATTGTCCATTAAAACAATGGTTCGAATAATAATAATGCCAAATTAAGAACAGTGGAAAACGAAAAAGAAAGGTTACGGGAGAATAGCAACAAAGAAAAAAAACAATAGAGCGTCAGTAAAACAAAAGAAAAGAAAAAAATTTTATGTTCGAAATACAGAAATAAATAAGATACAGTGAGGGGCGAAAAAAGCCTGGACTTTTTTATTTTTACACATAAACGAATAGCAAGGATATTCTAAAAATTTTCTCTTATATCTATTTCTGTAGAGCTTTTTACGCTGATCATTTTGGTAAAAAGCTTTTTGATTTTCATTGAGTAATGACAATGTTATAGTCAAAATACTAAACACTGTAGTAAAATTAAAATGCAGGGGAAAAGTAGAGCACATTTTTAGTGTTTGGCTAAGTTTTACGTTATTTTACAACATCTGAAAGTTGTTCTATATACCATTCGATGCAGAATTTAATGGGCTACATTTTGGTAAAAAGTAATTATACTTATATTGGGGTTAATTTATTAATTAATAATTAATTAGTAGTTAATAATAATTAGCAATTACTTAATAAAATTTTGATTTTTTTTGAAATTCCAACTGTACCATTCGAAAGAGCGTAAACAACTGAACAAAACTCTATTATTATCATTTGGAAAGCAACACATTTGGTGAGGTTTTAGTGTGGTTTTCAGAGTATGTTCAGTTGTAATTAGATATAGTATTCATTATTTTTAATAAAGTCGACCATAAAACGACACATGAAATAGGCGAAAACTGGCGCATTTTAAAGAGCATCATTTGCTCTTTCAAATGACATGTCGCTGCTTTCTCTCCGATATTCTATACAAATGTTACAATGTCTTTAGTTGTAAGAACTAATTGAAGCTATCCTTTCCAGCCACTTTTCTGTTATTTTGCATTCTATATTTCGAAAGACGTTGTAACATTTATATAGAATATCGGGGAGAAAGCAGCGACATGTGATTTGAAAGAGCAAATGATGCTCTTTAAAATGCGCCAGTTTTCGCCTATTTCATGTGTCGTTTTATGGTTGAATTTATTAAAAATAATGAATACTATATCTAATTACAACTGAACATACTCTGAAAATCACACTAAAACCTCACTAAATTCGTTGCTTTCCAAATAGTAATTATATAGTTTTGTTCAGTTTTTAATGCTCTTTCATATGAAAGAGTCAGAATTTAAAAATAAATCAAAATTTTATTAATTAATTGCTAATTATTATTAACTAATAATTAATTAATTAACTACAATAAAAGTATAAGTGCTTGTTAACAAAATGTAGCCCATTAAATTCTGCGTCGAATGGTATATAGAACATCTTTCAGATGTTGTGAAATAACGTAAAAATTAGCCAAACACTAAAAATGTGCTCTACTTTTCCCCTGCATTTTACTACAGTGTTTAGTATTTTGACTATAACATCATCATTACTCAATGAAAATCAAAAAGTTTTTTTACCAAAATGATCAGCGTAAAAAGCTCTACAGAAATAGGTATAAGAGAAAATTTTTAGAATATCCTTGCTATTCGTTGATGTGTAAAAATAAAAAAGTCCAGGCTTTTTTCGCCCCTCACTGTATGATTATGACCAACTAAAATCTCATTATTTCAATAATGTAATATTAATATTTTTTCAATACAAATAACCTCTATATAACTAATTGTAGATAATTGTATTGATTTCTATGTTATTTTTATAAATCAATGTATATATATAACATGTTTCATTCCACACATCAAGAGGAAGATACCGAATAATATAAATGATGAAAAATCCTATTTATGACTGCATATAATTCATAACAATGAACAAATTCGATATATCAATATGCGACAAAAAGAATTTTTTCATTTTCTGTATTCAATTATCATTTGAGTTTTTAAATAAAATTTTAAGACTAATTAGTATCAAAAAGTACAAGCCGATAATGCTACAACAGTGCAATAATAAAAAGAAAAGTTGGCAAAATCTATTTTGAGAAACAAATAAAATCACACATATAAATAGAATTTCATTAGACAAGTGTAGTATATTCAAAATCGTTTTCTTTATAAACATAAAAATCATGTTTTATATTTCCAAAATAATTGCCACTAAAAGTTAAGTCAACGATTGTCTTCATATACAAAAAAACGAAACGAAAAGAGATACAAAAATCAATGTTGATCTTTCATAGTAGAAATCATGCTAATCAACAAATTGGAAGACTTCGATCGGACGGCANGACGTTGTTTTCTCGTTAGTAGAATGCTTCTCAGACTTCGAAAATCTTTCGTTTTGTCACAAAAAGTGTCCTCTGCCGTGTGTAACTGTGGAAAAAATGTTCTTATCTGAACTAGACTAGCGGTTCTTCACTGATAAAAAGCGCAAATTTTTCATAAAAATACCTCCTCTTTGGTCTGGCATAAGAAATGAGAAAATCTGACTTCAGTTTCAGATAGAGCGCAGCTGAATGCATATATCCATACAGATAAACTCTTATCAATCGGAAAAAAGTAAACACATAAAGCGAAAATGCTAAAAAATTGTCTGTTCTTATATAGTTTGGCCAGTACTGTGTATTGAACAACAGAATGTTTGTTTTACTTTTTAATAGTTTCGTTTTGCTGATCGACTTGATCTTATCATGATTCTTTTTGGGTTATGTTTCGTCTTACTAAGGAGCATAGCTTTCACGGCATCATTAGTTGTTTTTGGTCGACTTACGAGCTCATTCGCGTCGCTATCGTTTATTGGTCGATGCCCTTCACAGCAGAACGCATCGGTTACTGCTCACAATAGCAGAGAACGTCCATCGAATGCTGAGCCAAATATTTTCAACTATGATCGATCAGAAAAGTAAGTATTGATCACAAAAGAGCTTGATGTATTCCAACTTCTTTCACCATTCACTGTTCATCGATTTCAGACTCTGTTCAAATGGCAGTACCACCTCGGTACCACTGTGGTCGTTCTCTACGATCAAAAGTCATGAAGATGTGAGACACCTATTATGGTGGCTGTTAAGTAAGCAGAAAAAACCTAACTGTTCAGCCGTCAACCACAAAGTGGTTTGCATCTTGAATGTATATAGTCATTGGTTCAATCGAACTCGTGTGCGTTGCTCCTCAATATTTTCTCTTCACTGTGGCCACCAGACGACAAATCTATCGAATACGTATTCGTCTTTTACAATCACTCCTGCAACGGGTATGTCAAATACATTCGTCTTGACGCAGATATAACGAATGGGAAAAAATTAATGACCTTCTCATTGTTATCTCCGCTTCTACATTTGATTATCATCGTCTAGACTTGTACCTTCTTTGAAACTATACACTGTGCTATTTTCTACAAAATGATTGTATTGTGAAACATGACTGAGATGCAGTGCTTAAGTATATTGCGGTAAAAGTGACTTCTACCCCTACAATAGCCCAAGGATGATGACAAGTATTACTTAGGATTTTGCGCTATATATAACAAAGTTTATGACGGTTTCAAGAAATTTTCGATGTGTTGCTCATTATTTTCCGAAGATATTGCGAAAACCATAGATAGGTTTCCCATTATAGTCACAGTGACCCCACCGTATTCTGTATTTTAATTCCGTAGGGATGACACTGAAAGCATTTATATTTGATGACTATAGTCTTCTTATTTTTTCAAACGGTACAGAATTGGATAGAATAATCAAGTACAATTTTCAATTTTTTTTCTTTTTCTCAACTATCTCTCTGTGGCATTCTCCTTCTTACATCACCGTAGATTGCTTTGTTACGTTTTCACAGTTCATAATGCCAATGGATTTTTTAAAATCATTGTTTCATACAATAAATTGTTTCAGACAAGAAAATTAAAACCTCTGAAAGTATCAAAATACATACTTCAATATTGTAGTAGTTCCAATATTGCAAGAGAAAAATTGAAAAATAAAGAGAATGAGAATGAGAATTATACTTAATGGTTTCATATACTTCCGAAAAATTTGAAAAATGAAGACCAAATTCATTGAACAAAATATACTTTTTGTTGCTCGGGGAGGAGAAGATAAATGCGCAGCACATCTTTTGTGAAAAGAACTTATGTCTGAGCAATGATAAAAAATGAAGAAGTTGACAGAACAACGAGGGGCTATTTATTCAGCTACAACCGTTACGATGCTAGGGCAGTTGATAATTAAACATGTGAATCGTTTTTTTCTCTTTTTCTTTCTTTCTCTCGTTTCTAGAATATTTCATATTGCGATACAAATTCGATCAGTCAGGTCAGTGTCAAACTGTTCAAGTAAGTCATTTTCTGTCAATATTTGCAATAGAAATAATATCTAGTTCTTTCATTTCATAGTAACATCGACAATATGAGCAAAGCCATCGGCTTTGAATTATCAATATTGCTTTGTGCATTTTTTCTCATTATTTGCTGCGCTTGTGTTGCCTTAATCATCAACTGGAAATTGACATCTGCCGTAATATGCACATTGCCGTTTGCTATTGTCGGCTCATATGCCTTTACAAGAGTAGATATGATTGCTATTGATTAATTTAGCTTATATCAATTCTAAAAGGTCACCGTCAAAGAATCAAGAAACGAATTGGATGCGTACTCAAAAGCTGGAGAGGTCGTTCAGGAAGTGTTCAGCTCTCTTCGTACTGTGTTTTCGTTCAATGGTGGAAAATTTGAAGAGAAACGGTAGGAAATATGTCTGTTGTTAAAGGAACTTTGTAACCCATGAGCCATGACCATGCTCGAATTTCATTGTGAATCTAGATACGAAAGCGAATTGCGAGCGATTCATAGGAGCAGTGTGCGAAAGGGTGCCGCATTTGGTCTTCTCAATGGATGGATCTATCTGATAGGATACACGATTTGTTCGATTGGTTTTACTTTCGGTTCATCTCTCATGCATCAGGAAGGACCTGGCAGACTTAGTTTCAGTGATCTTCTTGTGGTAAGTTATTCAGTTCACAAACAAGATTTCGAAAACCGATGGATTCTCGACGTTTGAATAGATAGTGGTTACTTTGGTACGAGCTATCACCAATATTGCATTTGTTGGTCCTTTCTTTCAATTGTTGGAAGAGGCTCGAGGTGCTGTGGCGGCCGTTTTCCGATTGATCGATGAGGTACAGTTATACGTAATGTACGATCTTGTCTCTCCACTATTGCATCATATAGGAAAGGAATACAAGTATGAATGAAACACAAATATCTCAAGATTCGGTTTCTTCTGAAGAAACTATCAGCATAAATGGTGATATTCAATTTGACAATGTCAATTTTGCCTATCCAGCTCGATCGGGTGTCTTAGTCCTACGAAATCTCACATTGACGATTCGTGCTGGTGAGACAACAGCTTTAGTCGGTTCAAGTGGTTCTGGTAGATATTTCACAAAAAGCACATATCGGAGTTTGATAGTCTATAGTTTGTTGATCGAATAGGAAAGAGCACCTGTGTTTCACTTCTACTTCGTTTTTATGAACCTTTATCGGGCTGCATTACAATTAATGATCGATCGATCACCGATTATGAGTTCAAATCACTCCGACAAAAGATTGGTGTTGTTAGTCAAGAACCTGTACGCATGTCTCTTTGTTTTCTGATTTTTGCGCTTTATAATGTTTAATGTAGGTTCTCTTTGCCACAAGCATCTATGAAAATATTCGCTTTGGTAAAGAAAATGCAACAAGAGCCGAAATTGAAGAAGCAGCACGTCAAGCCAGTGCACACGATTTCATTATGCAATTACCGAATGTTTGCATCAAATGATCTTCTCTAATATGATGCATGATGTTTTCTGTTTTCGTAGAAATATGACACAGTTGTCGGTGAACGTGGTGTTCAGTTGAGTGGTGGTGAAAAGCAACGTGTGGCTTTAGCTCGTGCTCTTGTCAAACAGCCTGCCTTGCTTTTGCTGGATGAAGCAACAAGTGCTCTTGATAATACCAATGAAAAGATTGTCCAAGAAGCACTCGATCAAGCATGCACAGGTTTGCACGTATCTTTCTGTTCTAATCATACCATATAAAGTTACTTGTAGGTCGGACAACTATTGTGATCGCTCATAATTTGTCAGCAGTTCAAAATGCGCATCGAATTTATGTTTTGGATAATGGATGTGTCATCGAACAAGGTACACACGAGACACTGATATCACAGAAAGGAAGTCGATATTGCGAGATGATGAAAGCTCAAGAGACAGAAAAAAGAGAAAATGACATCGATGAAAGAACAAGCACCGCACAAATCGAAGATGACGATCAAAAGCAAACATGTACGTATACACTTTAAAAAAAAACGAATACTTTAAACAAGATAATTTGTTTAAATTAGCTGAACGTTCTCGACATCGAAGCCATAGTGAACTTGACGACAAGAATAAAGTAAAGAACATGAATTTACTTGTGTCCAGATTGTTTTTGCATGCGCAATTGTTTTTGAACAGGCATCATCAGATACAAATCGCCAACCTGTCTTCTTGCGACTTTTGCTGATGAATAGTCCCGAATGGATCATTATTCTGATCGGCTGCGTGGCCTGTCTCATACTTGGAGCAAGTCAATCCATCCAAGCTATTTTACTCTCGCTTACAGTATCTGTAAGTTATTGTCGTGCACAGGAAAACCAGGATTGTCGTAATCAGTTGTTCAAAGGCATTTGGAGCGTGTACCTACGAAGAACAAAATCATCGAATTTTGAAAATTTCCCTTCTCTTCTTGTTGATGGGTATTGTCCTTTTGGCTATACGTTTGATTCAAGTAGGAATATATTGCATAAAATGTTTTATATTTTCTGCATCAATAGTACACTGCGTTTGCTGTATCTGGCTCAAAATTGACTGAGCGTATCCGCATTAAAGCTTTTGCGCACTATCTACGTCAAGAAATAGCTTTTTTTGATTGTCTTGAAAATAGTTCTGGAGCTATTTGTAATCGTCTCTCATCCGATGCGTTGGCTGTTCAGCAGATGGTTGGCAGTTATCTAGGCATTGTTTGTGAATCAGTTGCGACATTTGGAGTTGGTCTTGCTATTGGTTTTTTTTTCAGTTGGCAGTTGGCATTAATCGCACTCTTTTATATTGTCGTTTTGTTTGTTGTTGCTTTCATGCAAATACGTAGGCAAGCACGGTTGAACAAACATTGTGATTGTGTTCTTGGATTAGCAAGTTCAGTAAGAGGAACATGCCGATTAAAATATCATGTATACTGAAATATTGATGTTGAGTCTTCTTTTCTTAATAGTTCGCTGTCGAAATCATTCACAATATGCGTACGGTGAAACAATTGGCAAGTGAGGCAGAATTTCTACGTCAATTCTCAGATTCACTTCTTGAGGAGTTCAAGTCAGTCTTTCAATAACTTTTTCCCTTAATCTCTATGCAATATTTTTCCATAGAGTTCGTCGAAATGATACAATAATATCCCTCCCACTGCAAAGTCTCCTTTGGGGAACAAGAACATTCATCGCGTTGGTTCTCTTTTGGCAGGCTCTCATCCTTGTTGAACGCAAAGAACTGAACATGAACAATCTCAATATGTACAATAAAAAGCTTTAAGATCTATTTTATCTACATATTCTTCTAGAGTGTTTGTCTATTACTTTTACATCTTGGACTCCATACGATGCATAGCGACGTTGTAAGTAATTCCGTCGATCAACTCGGTTTCCTCAAGTGTCTTATTTAGGACACGACAGATGAGTGACTCGTTAACAGCAGCTCAAAGTTTCTTCAATTTGTTCGATCGAACATCAGCTATCGACAATAGTTCCATCAATGGTCAACAATTGGTAAGTGATTCATTTCGTAAAAGTCTCGGCGTTAAACAGATCTCTCTTATCTCGTTGTTAAACTATGTGGATGACAGAGTGATTTCCAAGGCGCAATCGAATTTGATCAAATCAAATTTGCATATCCATCTCGGCCGACATCCTGCATTCTGAATAAATTTCAATTGACCATCAAACCTGGTGAGTTTATCCCGTATATTTTAAGTTTACTTTGTGATTAAATGTCTATATTTGTCCATTAGGCCAGCGTGTGGCTCTTGTAGGTATGTTGAAGTTAGTTGTTGTCCATTCAAAACGACCATATCATCTATATACAAAGGTGCATCTGGTTGTGGCAAATCGACAATCATTCAACTTTTGGAACGATTCTACGATCCCATGAAAGGTCGAATCGTAAGTATCTTTCTTTTATGCTATCAAAATATTTGTACAAATACTCGACTAGCGAAATCTAGTGTCTCGATGGTGTTGACATTCAACAGCTGAATATTCAATGGCTTCGTTCGTCTCTTGGTCTCGTTAGCCAAGAGCCTATCTTGTTCAATTTGACTATTGCTCAAAATATAGCCTATGGTAAAGAGAATACATCGATTGAAGATATCATTGACGTAGCCACCAAAGCCAACATTCATCATTTCATTCAGCAGTTACCTCAAGTGAGTGAAGAATAACACATGATAGTTGATTGTGTCTTTGCACTGTAACAACAGGGCTATGATACTAGAGTGGGTATGAAAGGTGGTCACTTGTCAGGTGGTGAGAAACAACGTATTGCCATTGCTCGAGTTCTTCTTCGTCGACCAAAAATATTGCTGTTAGATGAAGCAACAAGTGCCATGGACTCTCACAATGAACAGGTTCGTTTTCTTACAATGTTCATTGATTAAATAGTCACTTTTGTTATGCTTAGATCGTGCAAGAAGCTCTTGAAAAAGCTGAAACAGAGAATTCAACTTGCACTTCACTGATCATTACTCATCGTCTGTCGACTATTCGTTCATGTGATATGATCTACGTTCTTGAGAAAGGATATCTGGTAGATAGTGGTACTCATGCAGATTTAATGGAACGACGTGGAGCCTACTATCGTATGATTGTTCGCAGCAGTATTTTATAAATTGACTTCGTTATTATTTTAACAAAACTGACTAGAAATTGAAATAAACTATTCTCATTAATCAAGGATCGTATGAAGCAGTGTAATGACTGCGAAATGCAAAATCCGAAAAGTGAAAAGTATGAGGTCCAAAAACGAAGGGAAGACTCCTGTTATAATTGCTTCTATCATATATCAGTAAAAAGGCATGCTGCAGAAAGCTATTTATTGATCAAGCCACAGTCAGAAACATTATGCTATATCTCAAGAACACTGGAAGCTAACAATTTCATTGTGTGAATGTGTCGTATGTGTGTTCTAAGTAACAGGACTCCCAGCTACAACTAGGGGTGTGGGTGTGTTTGTAGGTGTAGTAGAACCAAACACCCAATCACATCCTCACGTCCGTATCCACGCCGCCATCCACACCCAATCACACCCACACCCACAGCCCAAAAAATATTTCATTTTCAATCGTGTTAGTACAACCAGTGACAGAAACAAAAAACCTAGACGATGGCATAGATGGTGTGCTTTGTATTTGATTTGGTCATGTTACTAAGTTCTGCTCGTTCTCAACAGAATGAGAAAGAAAAAAACAAAGTGCATCTAAAGCTCGCTGAGTCAGTAAATGAAAAATAATGTGAATGAAAGAAAAAATGCCGCGTTAGAGAATAACGAACGATTTGATAAAACGACACAGACGAAAATTTGTCGTGATTAACGAAAATCTCCTCCAATGGCGTCACGCATTCTTAAAATGATTAGTAACTTATTCAGTATACCGGAATATCGTGTGCTGACTATGGATCTCGATGCATCAGGAACAACAATGATTCTTTACAAATTAAGCCTCAATGAAACTGTCCAAACAATTCCGACTATTGGTTTCAACGTAGAAGTAATAATGTGGGTGTGAGTGTGGGTGTGGGTGTAGGTGTGGGTGTAGGTGTGGGTGTAGGTGTGGGTGTAGTTGGGGTGTGGGCGTGTGTGCGTGTGTGTGGAATGTTGGGTTTCTCTTCAGGGTTATGGAGCCACACACATCTACTCCCACCCACACCCACACCCTTTGAAATACGAAACTACCATTCTTATAACGATTTGTGTTTGTTATACAGTACTGGTAAAAAATGTAAGACGAACATATTTTTGATTTTTTTCTACAATATCAAATAGTGGTTTGGATAGCCAATGAAATTCTCTATCAAATGCATTGCTTATGGAATTTCATAGATGGACTATGAAAGTAAGGTTTTTGAAAAATCGCGCAAAGTACTTTTTAGATTCCAGAAGATTGTGTATAAGTACCATTTCGAAGAGCATAAAATTGTGAATAAAATGAGAGGTTGCTGCATTTTCTATGACCTTCCGTTAAATGTTATAAGCGTCACAAAAAACAAAAACATACATTTTTTTAGCAGCTCCATGATTAGTTTTGCTTTGCGGTGCTTATAACTTTTTGAGGGAAAGTTGGAGAAAATACAGCATCCGTCATTTGATTCAGAATTTTATGCTCTTTAAGATGGTACTCTTAAAAACTAATTTATACAGTCTTCCGAGACCTGAAAGGCACCGTATGTAATTTTTCAGAAACCTTCTTCTCATAATCCATCTATGAAATTTCAATATGCAATGCATTTGATAGAGAATTTCATTGCTTATTCAAAGCACTATTTGAATTTCAGGTAATATTTGATATTGTAGGAAAAAATCAAAAATACCTTGCTCTTTTATTGTTGACCAGTACTGTACAATTGAATATTCACCGTGAATTTTTTCTACTGGAAGTTTCCAAAGCCGGTTTTAGTAAAGCTACTAACTAAAAAAATTTCATTTTTTCAAGCCAAGAAAGAAGGCTAGTGCCCTTAAGCTCTTGTTTTCTGAAAGATTGAATTAAAAGAAACCTATTTCTAACCATAGAAAAAAATACAAATTCTTTGATTTAGATCTTCCTAATCATCTATCTGATATTCAACGTACATTTATTCGTCTTCGTTTTCATGATATCGATGATTTAATGAAAGCTTGTAAAGAATTACAACCAATTGTTAAACGTAATATTGAACGTGAAAAAGAACAACAATCTCGTCCTGAATTAGCTCTATTAAAACGAGCGACATCATCAAATCCAAGTAGTGATCTTATTGTTGATGGTCTTTCAAATGCAAATGTTGCTGAAAAACAAAGTGATGATATTATTGAATTACGTGAATTTGATGTACCATATCATATTCGAGTTCGTATTGATTTAAAAATAGATGTTGGCCTTTGGTTTGTATTTATAATTAAACACAGAAAACAATGATATTTTTTTTTTATTTTGATTTATTTTATAATTAGGTATAGTGTTCGTGGTCAATCAACTAGGCGAACCACAAAATCAACTTGTATTAAAACCAGATTTAATCGAACAACCAGAACCAATTATTTTTGCATTTGATATTGAATGTACTAAAATGCGATTGAAATTTCCTTCGGCTGCATCAGATCAGGTAAATGCATTAAAAAATTGCTGCTTTAGACTTAAGGAGACTCTTCTTTTACGAGTGTTAAAATCAAAATGTTTTCAATTTTTGGTTTTTCATTTTTAATTTAGTTTCGAAGTATTTTCTGGCCAAATGTCATATAAATGAGGGCTCTTCGTTGTTAGTTCGTACTTATATTAAACCCAACTCTCTCGCTCTGATGATTCTTTGCATGCAAAATTCTCCTACTGATAATTTCTAAAGATGCTGAGAGCATAGGGGTCATGGATCTCTAACATCGCGGAAAACAACCAGTTTTCAATCACTTCCGTTGAAGAAAAAAGTCCTGATACATACAGGAAAATATCTTTTTCATTTTCCTCAAAATCAGTTTTTGACCAAAACAAAAACGAAGGTTTCTCTCCTTTTCTCCCACACGGTACGTCCGATAGGGCTCAACTTTTTGTTATCAGTACTTTGGTCAAATTGGGACGAATTTTTTTTCTTCAAATGTTGCTCCTTCGAAATTTGGGTGTGGGTGGGTGTGAGGTGTGGGTGGGTGTGAGATGTTGGTGGGTGTGGGGTTTGGGTGTGGGTGAGTGTGGGGGTTGGGTGTGGGGGGCGCCTGGTCTCGGCCCGCCGCTCGCGC